ATCTGAACTATGGAGGTGCTAGTAAGCTTCTTCCGTATTTCCACCTTCCCTAGTTTTTCATGGCATCTGGTTCAAAAGTCAGTGAGGAAGGGAAAATAAATTCTGTTTATAAGGGACTCCAACTACTTTCTTGGGGGCATGAATTTTAGCTCCACCTTTAGTAAAGGTGTGACACATACGAGTGCTAGTAAAAGGTCTGTCTTGACTTCCTGAGTTGGTTACAAAAGCTTATACCATGTCACATGGCTAGAGTCAGTATCCAGTACCTCCTGTTACGCACACCTTTCATTTAAATGGCATGGTGAAAACCCACATCTGAATAGTAAATATGGGGTTTTCCCCCTTAAATAAAGATAATCTTCTCTTGAAGTGAAAGATTCTGTTTAGACCACTAGAAATTATGCTACAATGAGAATTTTTGGAATGATCAAATGTTCTTGAAGCAAGAGGGAACAGGACTACCCGCAATCACTTATGGTATGTCATTAATGGTGTGTTGTCATAATATAGATGATATAGAACAACTGGCTGGCTAAAATGATCTAGAGATTTCATCTTGCATTGCATATGCTATTTTAGCTAGATTTTTATAAAAATATATGTGTATAACACATGCTGTACAGTAGACACTTGCTTATCTGCACTTCACTAATATGTACACAATCTGCACTCTCCCTTCTCTGAGATTTAACAGAGACCCATAGTGAGATCTCTGGTGCTGAGAATTTTTTATAGTTATAAAATATGCTATACTGTGAAATATCATCATAAAAAACTAAATCTTCACCTGTCAAAATAAGTGAATAAGGATAATGCATCACAAAATGTACTTTGCTTCTTAGCTTACTTTTTTAAAATAGTAATTGTTCACTTAATTGCTGATCCACAACATTCAGTAATTTGCAATGGGTTCCCTATTAGCTCAAATTAGAGATGTTCTACTGTAAAGAATTGTTCTACTGTACGGTATTTAACTCATTAAAATGAGGGACAAAAGAGGTTTTATGTTGTATATGCTAGCAAAGTACTGTAATTATTTGAACACACAAAAGCTTTAGAAGGAAAATAACTATCCTTAAACTTGCAGATTTGTCATACTGAAGCTAAGTATAGGGAATATCTCTAAAACCTTTACTAGCCGTAGAGCCAGAAAGAACTACTTTTATGTGTCCACTTTAGGCTAGGACATCTAGGGGATGGGAACAATTTTTGGTCACTAAAAATGTAAATCCTGACTTGGTAACCTAGAGATGAAAGCCTCTCTCTTTATTCTTTCCATTATCACTCCCCAATGAAGGAAGTTAAAAGCAACAGAGCAGTGGTCAGAGCGTAAAGCTATCACAGATGTCCAGCTTAGTAGAGTATTAACTAGGTAGCTAGTGATCATGAGTAGGAAACAGAGTGTATAAGGATAGGGAGTAACCCAGGTCCAGTTTTTTAAAGATATTTAGACACCTAAAGATGCACATAGACACCTAATAGGATGATTCTTTAAAAAAATCCCACTAGATGCTTATCTACATCTTTAAGGACCTAAATACCTTTGAAAATCTGGTCCCCCGTGCTTTCTTGTGATTAAAAATAACTTCTAATGGATATGTGCAAGGCTATATGTGAGTTGTTGCTGTATATATATTTACTTGCCTACCACAGTCAATACACACCACCATTTTATAACTCCTTACTGTAAAGCCATGACACTGGCAGGCCAAATGCCAGCTCTTGCCAAGGCTGCAGGCATTAGTTAAGAACTGATAACCTCGTAGCTGGAGACCAGCTAGAGACCAGACCAGGTCACCTGTATCTTAGATTTGCTCAAATTAGTCTTATAAGAATGTATTTGGTGTTTAGACTCTGATACAAGCATTTCATAATCTTGTTTATAATAATCCATCCCCCATGGTATAAGGTAATATTTTCAGCTCTGCAACTGTAAACCACCACCACACCCCTCTCCAGTCAGAAGAGAAGCATGACTAAGTGTGAAACCACAAGAAGTGTTATCTCCTGCCCAACAAAAGATTGCCCATAGACATCAGATAAACCATTGTGGAACATCAGAGGATAAAAAACTGTTGATTTTTCATCACCACCACCACCCATGAAGAGGAAACATGCATGTGAACTAGTCCCATCATCTGGAACTCTGTGGGAAAGGAATAAAAATCTCTGACAAGAAGAAACTTCATCTTTTTTGGCTGTTTGAACTCTAAAGGGACAGACTCTAAACTGAAACCAGAGACCAGGGCCAGCTCCAGGGTTTTGGCTGCCCCAAGCAGCCACACACAAAAAAAAAAAAAAAAAAAAGCCGCGATCATGATCTGCGGCGGCAATTCGGCGGAAGGTCCTTCGCTCCGAGCGGGAGTGAGGGACCGTCCGCCGAATTGCCGCTGAATAGCTGGACCTGCCGCCCCTCTCCGGAGTGGCCGCCCCAAGCACTTGCTTGCCAAGCTGGTGCCTGGAGCCGGTCCTGCCAGAGACTGCCAGGGGCTGTCTTCTGGATCTGTGCTGAAAGACACTTTGAATAGACCGATCATTACAACTCTGTCTCTCTTAGGTTTTAGATGGTAACTCATTGGTGTGTATATGTTTGCTTGCTATCCCCTAATGCCAGGCTTGTGTACGTTTCCATGATTTATTGTTTATTTCCCACATCCTGTCCATGACTTTCACTAAAAATACCCATGCCAACATCGCAGCCTTAAGTATTATGGTAATGCCCAAGAGGATCTGTGATCTTAAGGACTACATGCACTGGGGTGATATGGACTGTTTTGGGACTTTTGTTATGGAATATTTACACATTTGTTAAGCAGCTTCTTTAGGACTAGAGGACAAGATTCCATGAAGTTACAAGGGATCCAAGGGGGTAACTGAGGTAAGGGACCACTTGCAGGGCTGCCCTGAGACCACACGGGGGTGCCTAGGAGGAGCCTGTGGCAGCTAGAAGCTACTATAAAATTAAATAGAAATGGCAAAATACAAAGCCAAAATTAAAGATATTTGCCTTTTCCAAAATGAGGATCTCAATTTGAATCCCCCAGGCCTCAACACATTTATACCCTTCAGTCATGCTTCTGATGGGAGATCTGCAACAGACTCAGAAGGGCTCAATTAAAGATTCTCTGGACTCTCTCCATACCAAAATAAGGCTGGATGTGTGCTTCTCTTTCTTCCGTGGAGGCAAAAAAGCTATTATGGCATAGAGATCTGGCATAGAATCAAAGAAATGTAGCGCTAGAAGGAACTTCAAGAGGTCACTGAGTTCTTCCCCTGCACAGAGGTATGACCAAGTATATGTAGGCCATCCCTGACAGGCATTTATCTAACCTGTTCTTAAAAACCTCCAGCGAGGGGGATTCCATATCCTCATTTGGAAATCTCTTCCAGAGCTTAACTACCCTTATAGTTAGAAAGTTTTCCTAATATTTTTAACCTAAATCTTCCTTGCTGCAGATTAAGCCAATTACCTCCTGTCCTACCTCCAATGGACATGAAAAACAATAGAAAATTGTCTTCAAATATATTAAGGTTGACTGTGCGTTGTGTGAAAAAATACTTGTTTTTGTTTGTTTTAAACCTGCTGCCTAATAATTTCGTTTGGTGACCCCTAGTTCTTGTGTTATGAGAAGGAGTAAATAGCACTTCCTTATTTACTTTTTCCACATCAGTCATGATATTATAGACCTCTATCATATCCCCCCTTAGTCGTCTCTTTTCCAAGCTGAAAAGTCCCACTCCTATTAATCTCTCCTATGGCAGCCGTTCCATACCCCTAATCATTTTTGTTGCCCTTTTCTGAACCTTTTTGAAGTCCAATATATCTTTTTTGAGATGGGGCAACCACATCTGCACGCAGTATTCAAGATGTGGGCATACTATGGATTTATATAGAGGCAATATGATATTTTCTTTCTTAATTATTCCCAACATTCTGTTTGCTTTTTTGACTGCCGCTGCACATTGAGTGGATGTTTTCAGAGAACTATCCACAATGACTCCAAGATCTCTTTCTTGAGTGGTAACAGCTAATTTAGACCCCATCATTTTATATATATAGTTGGGATTATGTTTTCCAAAGTGCATTCCTTTCTTGTGGATAATTTTGATGCCTCAAACTTATACCCCACACAACTGACAGTCACATGAAAAGGGAAAACTTGTATTTTCTGGGCTTCTAACTTTGCAGCAAGGCCCCTGGAGAAACGGAGGGCTGACAGACATCCTGCAAATGCCCAACATGACACTTTAGAAGCATAAACTGAGAAAATACCATCAGTTTATTGCAATATACTTTCAAATGTGTCAGGAACATAAAATGGCTAAATGAATTCAACCAAGACTTTGATTTTGGGCTTTAAATAGTAGTTTGTGTTGATATCCCAATGAACCAGTTACATAGAGTTTATATTTCTGTTTTATGGCCAGTTTGGATGCTTTTTCTATGGACTACCTTTCTGCCAGAATAAAGTAATGGAAACTATTAAGCCCAATTTTCCTAAAACAGAGTATAGATACCTAATACAGTTTTAATATTCAAATACATCTATCCTCTTCAGACACTCAACCTTTTTTGCATTTTGAACTGTTGCATCCCAACAATAATTAGGAAAATTAAATTAATATCTGGATGTAGGAGATTGATTATTAAAAAGTAGTGCAAATATATCTAGTTTCTCTCTCTCTCTTTTGTCTCCTCAATATTGGTGTATATCTCTTAATGCCTGTCTTTCCAATTACATATACAGTACCCATAGCTTGAAATTAAACTCTCAGCCATGGTCAAACACAGACAACATGCACAATTTTTTAGATAATGTATGTGTCGACAATGTGACAGTGGTTTATAAGCTATTTTAAAATGTTCCTGGTTATTGGTGTCCTTAACGTAGGCTTCTGCATTTCACTAGTAGCCACTATACGTACATCCAAAACTTGTCTTAAATAGGCAATTGTTACAACAGTAGTGTACAAATAAATGCATATGAGAATGTACTCACTAGCTTGTTGATGGTGCACTTCATTCGGGAAAGCGCTGAATTCATAAGCAGACTCCTTGCTTTTCACTAAGAAGGTCAGAGTACTGTCAAGCTTCTCCACAGAAGAAAACTTGAAAGCCTGTTTAGAAGAAAGATAAGAGAAAAATTCAGATCACGTAGTGCTTATGTATTATTAACCATGTCCTTGTAGTGGCAGTAAATCAAAGGATTTAAACAAAATAAATATCAACTCAGTCTCATTAAGGTTAGTTTATTTTTGAAAGACCACAAAGGAGAAGTAATCTGACATAAGACCACCAAGATAATTTGACCAAAATAAGGAAAAGTGGACATTTTGGCCTCAAGCCTTAGCTGTGACTAAACTCAGAAGGATGGGGGAAGGCCTTTAAGAAACCTCTGTGTTCCTCCTATTCTTGGCTCAGCAGTGCACTGGGCCAGTATCCTGACCTAATTTAGAGCAGCGTGGGGGTTATTCTAATGTATACCAGCCACCAATAGACCCAAGAGGCCAATACTGCAGCTGGGGATCACAAGGCAGGAGGTTACCTAGGCTGACCCAAGTGAGGAGGATGGTATCATTACCTGGCTCTACACCAAATAGGCATCCCCCCTAAGATGGCTGGTTACACCACTTTTAGGTCGACTTTGCACCAGTGACACAGTGTAAAGCAGCTACACATATCTGAGGATCAGGGGTAACTGTGTGGAAAGTATTAGTGGTCTTATGGCAAAACAATTTGACTGGCTCATTTATTAGCTACAGAAGACACTCATACTGCACTGAATCATGTCAGGAACCAAGTGAAGTTAGCTGCAATGATCCAAGCTAATGTCCCAATCACTGCCCCACACTCAAAAGGGCTGAAGAAGCAACTGTGCCTCATGGCAGCCTGGCGCAAAGTGGGAACTGTGCAGTCTGCTCTCCACCATGCAGCTAATACTTCTGTGGGCTAGGAAAACAGGTGGAACAGCAAGGCCCAGAGCTGTATTTCCTCCTGCCACCTTTGAGGTGCTAAGGAGAGTAGTCTGACTGCAGAGAAATTGTGGCAAGCCCTAGAGCGGGCTGCACAAAAGTTCCTTGCATGTTCTCTCCATCAACTCAAACCCCAGAAAATGGCTTGTCACTATTACTATCCTAAAATGATTTTTGAGAGAAGAGTTTGAAACAAAGAGGCTTACAGTATATTATATAATGTTTAACATAACAAAGGTTTTGAAGGGTGACATTTACACATTGAGCTATCACTTTGTAAGTTTATCAGGATATGTCTACCCTGCAGTTGGAGGTGTGATTGCAGCACCAGCTGGCATACCCACACTAGCTTTAATCTAGCTAGCATGGCTAAAAGTAAAGATGTGGCAGTACAGGATTCAATGCAGGCTAGCAAGGTGAGTATGTAGCAAAAGTGCCAAGGGTGCTTGTACAACCCAAAACAAAGTCTGTGCTGCTACACCTTCACTGCTATTTTTAGCATGCTAGCTAAATTAAAGCTAGTGCAGGTTATTCCAGCCTGTGCTGCAATAACATCTCTGACTGTAGTACAGATACACCCTCAGACTCATGGCAGCTGAGGAACCTTTTACTGAGGGAACATTTCTGAGCATGCCCTGCTGTACATAAAAATATGCACTAATAAAAGAAAACAAAAATTGAAAACACTGACTGCAGACCAGCCACACGGATATCCTCTTCAGAAGAAGCAAAACTAAAGTAGAAGCCAACTTTTTGCAGCTCCGAAAGGATCCTACAAAATACTGTACTTAGTCCAGAGAGATCTCCATGCTTTATCATGACAGCCATGCAGTGCCGCCATTTCTGGGGTGTGGGAGGTGAGAGGGGGTTCCTTGTAAAGTGACACTGATTTCTGTTTTAGAATGGAAAACCCACATACAATACCAGATAAAAAGAATTTAACTATATAACTATAAGGATATATTTTAATTTATAAGCTACTGCTTTGAATTATTACAAATTCATTCCTGTACATGGAAAATAAGGTAATCAATTAACTGTTCTGATAAGAATCAAAAGATGGAAGATACAACCAAAATATAGCAGAAAAGATTATAAATGTGCTGCAAAACCAACTGAGAGGAAAAAAATAAAGCAAGATAGCAACACTTCATTGAAGTCTATTGAGCCACACATGTTTATGTGACTAGGATTGTACATTTAATAACTGTTTATTTTTAGAAAGATATTTTAAAAACTCATCCCATCATGCCCAAACCCACTATTTTAAGCTGCTTAGGATCTGCAACTACTTCTGAAGGTAGGACTACTTTCAGTAGTATGATGAGGCCAGTAGTACTACACTGCTATCAGAATATGTTTCCAAAGCCAACCTGACCAGCCTAACAAATGTAAAGGTCATCTTCCAGTGGCAAAAATTCAATTTAGGGTCTCTCCCCTCACTCCCAATCCCTGCTACCACTTTGATTTATTGCAGCTCTTGGCCAGACACTTTTGCACAGAGACCTCTACCATGCATAGTGTACCAATTAGTTATGCCCCAGGATATGGCTTTTAGGGCTTACTACCATGTGAAATCCCATACCACTATGGTCCTGATTCAAGAAAGCACTTAAGCATATATTTAACTTAAGTGTGTGCTTCAAGTCTGATTGAAGTCAATGGAAGCTAAGCACATACTTAAAGTTAAGGATGTGCTTAAGTATTTCTCAGAATAGGGATGTATACATGTTTTCCTGAATCACAGCCTGTGCTCAGGTGTTAATAGATTTGGACCCTTAATTTGTGCAGCCAATACTTATACAGTAGACTGGCATATTTCTCATTGACTTTGGCAGCTCTACAAAAGTCACATTTTCATACAGATGAACTATACTTGAATATCTTCTATATATCAGACAATATATTCTATGTACCTGGATTTCAACAATTTCCACCCCACCATCAACCTCAGTCTGGACCAGTCCGCACAAGAGATCCACTTCCTGGACCCTACAGTGCAAATAAGTGATGGTCACATAAACACCACCCTATACCAGAAACCTGCTGAACGTTATATTTACCTACATGCCTCCAGCTTCCATCCAGGACACATCACATGATCCATTGTCTACAGCCAAGCCCTAAGATACAACCGAATTTGCTCCAATCCCTCAGACAGAGACAAACACCTACAAGATCTTTATCAAGCATTCTTAAAACTACAATACCCACCTGGGAAGTGAGGAAACAGATTGACAGAGCGAGACGGGTACCCAGAAATCACCTACTACAGGACATGCCCAACAAGGAAAATAACAGAACACCACTGGCCATTGTGGCAGCGTATCCCATAAGGCTTTATGGGGGGGTGTTTATAAATGTATGTATGATATAACTGGAATACGTTTTGTGCTGCCTGTGCCATGTAACATATCTCCGTAAAGGTTATGGTCTACTATATCTATTCATCCTATTTGTACATATATATCATTTTCTACTTGAGGTTAAGAATATGGGCTGTATGCTTGCTTGGTTTCTAAGTAAGCTTTGTGAGGCATTTGGTCAGCTTCTTTAGGAAGGAATTCGCCAGGTTAAGTACCTGATCAGGAAACACTTGGGGAACAATGCATCTTGGAATGCTCCAATCCACATAAGAAGTCTTCCTGGAGACATGCAAGATACCATGTGTACAATGGCTTCGGCCTGTAAAGACTGAGTCATGCAGGGGCATGTGACTTGCCCAGGTGACTCCAGAACTCCATCTTGGAGCTGGACTTTGCATAGGAGGGAGGAGGGGGGGTCTCCACCCACAAGAGAGAGTCTATTTAAACCTGTGGGAGACCCCTCCATTTTGGTCTTCAGCTGGCTAAGGAAGGAGCCTCTCCACCCCCCCAGGATACTTGAAGGGAACTGGAACAAATGACAGTAACTACAGGGGGTGTGAGTGATTGCTGGACCCAGGCTAAAAGGAGATTAGCCTGTAAAAGGGAGCATTCTGGAACCGGTGAGGGACTTATCTGTATTTAGTTTGATTAGACATAGATTTGCGCATTTTATTTTATTTTACTTGGTGACTTACTTTGTTCTGTCTGTTACTACTTGGAACCACTTAAATCCTACTGTCTGTATTTAATAAAATCACTTTTTATTTAGTAATTTACTCAGAGTATGTATTAATACCTGGGGGAGCAAACAACTGTGCATATCTCTCTATCAGTGTTATAGAGGGCGAACAATTTATGAGTTTGCCCTGCATAAGCTTTATGCAGGGTAAAACACATTTATCTGGGTTTAGACCCCATTGGGAGTTGGGCATCTGAGTGCTAAAGACAAGCACACTTCTGTGAGCTGTTTTCAGGTAAACTTCCAGCTTTGGGGCAAGATATATTCAGACCCTGGGTCTGCGTTGGAGCAGACGGGAGTGTCTGGCTCAGCAAGACAGGGTGCTGAAGTCCTGAGCTGGCAGGGAAAACAGGAATAGAAGTAGTCTTGGTACATTAGGTGGCAGCTCCCAAGGTGGTTTCTGTGATCCAACCTGTCACAGCCATCACGTACAGCCCCCAGCTAAAACCTCTCCAGTGCATTATCAATGATCTACAACCTTTCCTGGAAAACGATCCCTCACTCTCACAGACCTTGGGAGGCAGGCCAGTCCTCGCTTACAAACAACCCCCCAACCTGAAGCAAATACTCACCAGCAACTACACATCACCCCACAGAAACACCAACCCAGGAACCAATCCCTGTAGAAAATCTCATTGCCTACTCTGTCCTCATATCAACTCTAGCGACACCATCAGAGGACCCAACCACATCAGCCACACCATCAAGGGCTCATTCACCTGCACGTCTACTAATGTTATACATGCCATCATGTGCCAGCGATACCCCTCTGCCATGTACATTAGCCAAACCAGACAGTCCCTACATAAAAGAATAAATGGACACAAATCGGACATCAGGAATAGTAACATACAAAAGCCAGTAGGTGAACACTTCAATCTCCCTGGACATTCTATAACAGATTTAAAAGTAACTATTCTTGAACAAAAAAACTTCAGAAACAGACTTCAAAGAGAAACAGCAGAACTAAAATTCATTTGCAAATTTACCACCATTAATTTGGGCTTGAATAGGGACTGGGAGTGGCTGGCTCATTACAA